TAGCTGGCTGGCATCTCCTAGCTCTGCCTTTCTCCTTCCCAGCTTCCTCAATTTGATTGTCCAGCCCAACTTTACCCTGCCTTGTTGTAGTCCAATCAGCTTCTTTATTAACCAATGAGAGTAAAACATAGTCATAGTGTACAGAAGGATTATTCCACAGCAATTCTCCCTTTTTGTCTAATTAAAAAGGAAGGTTTTAATTTTATCATAGTAAGGTTATATATAACATTTTTTTGTTGGCTGGTTGGTTGGTTTGGTTTTTGTTTTCATTGTTGTTTTGTTTTGTTTCCCTGTGCATATCTCTCCTTTCTGACTGTAGCCATTTTGGCATCCCCAGATCCCATCTACATCTCCCCAACTTTTTTTCATGTCTGAATCTGATATTCTTTTGCATTCCCTGGACCCCTGTCTGGGAACATCTTCAGAACTGTTGAAGTCATTCTGGGGTTCCTTCCATTTTTCACCATCATGCAGTAAACATTCTCTCACTGACTGACGTCTAGCATCTCAAAAAATGTTGTTTCATGTTACTTTTGAGAAAAGACTTAATTTCTGTTGCTCTATCTTGGTGGTGAGCAGGCCACTCAGTGACCATGTTAGTCTGAATCAATTACTTCCCCTGCTTGCCTACCATCCTAGGTACCATTAAACTAATACAGAGAATTTCCTTTTAATCTTTTCTCTGTGGTCTCAGGTCTGTTGGCCTGCATAAGCACCCATGCTTGGGCACTTTGGTAACACAATTGAATTGCTTTGTTGTTTCTTTTATGGAGTCTAGCTTTCTGTCTCTGTATGCCAAGTTTAGTTACTGAATGAGAACTTGATAAATGCACACAGAAACCACAAGCATTCCATATGAGCATAAATCGGTTTGTATATTCAGCTATTGATGAAATGACTTTCAGGATGCTTCTCCCACATTGTGCTGAGCATATGGCATGAAAATTCTTCTTGGATCCTCTCCATCTCTCTACTTTACTTTTAATCTGTAAACTCTTATAGATTTTTCAAAGGAAAAATAAACAGCAAAACAGGAGGCTCCACTTAACCATCTGAATTTGCTCCCCAAATTTATGCAAATTCCTCTTGAATAGGCTTATTCGAAGCATGTTCAATATAATTTACCCATTCACCAAGCAAATTGTGTAACTGTGCCTGATACTGGTGATGTGAGATAAAAATGTTAAGGTTCTTTTTTCCCCGAAAACTTGCAGTGTATTAATGAAGGCAGAATTTAGACAGAGAATTAAGGATTAGTGAAGTGCACACCTTGTCTCTCTAACATGAGCCTGAAGTGATGAGCAATGGCCAGTCTTCTCCTGAAAGAGAAGAGAAGTGGTTAAGATGGAAGCAGGAAATGAACTCAGATGGCCACACTTACAGGATTTAGCAGAAAGGGGGGCAGGGGGCAGCCAGGTGTCTCACAGGTTTCTGAATTAAATTTTTAAATGGATGGTTTTATCTTTACTGACTAAGATAGAGAATCCATGGGGAGCGCATTAGGAGGAATTTCTTAAAATTGCCACAGTAACTATTCTTATCTGTTAATTTCTACCAGAATAATAAGACTGGTGTATGGCAAATAATAATTAACTCCTTAAATTATTTTTAAAGAGTAAATATTTCTTTATTATTTAATGGTATGCTAGTCATTCACGTTGCCTTCAAATTTGGATAGTCATTGCAGCAGTAAACCAGTAAAATGTCAAATACAGATTCAGTTAAACCATCTGAGGCTCCACAACTATGCTGAATTGCTGCCTAATTTGGGGAATTAAGATAAAACAGGCTGGTCTCACTGTTTCCTAGCCTTTCATAATTAGATAATTCACACAAAATGCAAGCTTGATCCAGCCTCAGAGGCTGGTGAGCCAAGTCCTGAGGTGCATGCTAAAGTTTTGAAGAGACACAAACATGGAGACAGATGCAGTTGGAGACTTAGATATAATGAACTCAAATTGATCCGCTGCAGTGGGTTAAACTCACTGCTAGGGATGTGTGACAGTCTGTCCTTCTGACACATGCCAGCCCAGACACTGGCACCCACTTTCCAATGCAAGTACCAGCCACAGATTTCAAAGGTTTGATGTCACCTGATGCTAGGGATTGTTGGGAGTAGTCTCGTGGGTATAAAGACATAGCTAGTCTATGAGCAATATTGAAGCCGTTGGTGCTTAAGAACTGCACAGTTCACAAGTCAGCTCCTCGGATGCTTTTTTAAGTCTATGTTATCAAAGAATTCCTGAACACTTGCCCAGCCAAGATAACATGGGGCATCAGACAGTAGTGTTGTATGGTTCTTTCAGTCCAGCACCCCTCATAATAGGCATGAAGGGTTGAGATAGAGGCCTCTCCCTCTCCTGTCTGATAGCCTCTATGCCAAGTGAAAGAGACAGTACACATGCTGCATCTACCTCCTGGCCCAAGTGGATTTATGGAATTTACTGGGGCTGTTTTTCCATTTAGGAGGCAGCATCCAAAATTTTACTATCCACAGAGAAAAGTGAAGTCATCCGTCTTGGCAGTTTGGCTGGAGTGAGGATGGTGTGGACAGGCAAGAATGATTGTGGGTATTAAGTCTGAGAAACACCCACAGTGGTTTTACATGGTCTGTGTTAAATTCCTCACATGTTACAAGCATAACTCCTGAGTATTTCTCACTGTAGAAAAGGAAGAAAAGCATGAGAAGACTACTTAGAATAATTAGAACAATGATAAGAGTGTATTAGCCTTTCAGTTTAAGCTACTGCCACAGGCATACATGGGTGACCATGTCTAGAAACTCACTAATTCTATATTAAGGAGATTAGTTTTCTAAGCCCTAACCCCAGAAACACAGGAAAACAAGAACCAGGTTTCATTGTTTTCAGTGGGAAAATAAATGACTCTAGACCAATGGAGATGGACCTGCACAGAAAAGAGTTAACATAGCCACCAACCCAGACTTTGAGCTTAGAGGGATTTGCTTCCCACTTGCCTATTGGTTGGCATTTAGAAATTGTGTTTCAAGAATTTCCAGGATGATAAGAAAAGTTGGCTCTGTATGCCCAAACTATTTATGGAAACAATACCAAAAAGAATGAACTCAGAATTCCCCTAAAATGTAAGGGGGGAGGGTAATTAAATAAAAAAAAATAAGAGATAATAGATGAGATAGTCAAAGTTAAACCTAAGAGATCATATCCAGAGGATAGAAATTCCAACACAGCGAGGGAGGGGCATAGAGACCATGTAACAAAGCCATCAAGAAATTTTCTAAGACAAGAAAAAAAATCAATTTATAAGTTAAAATAGTTTTCCAAAATAACCCATACATAGGTAGCTGATCAGCTAATGTTGCACTTCTCAGCTGTGTCACTGGAAGATAAAAGCACAGAGAATGGTCCTTTCTGAAGGATATTCATTCTCGACCTAAAATCTCCTCCAATATCTTAATACATGTAGATTGTTTGCATATAGATTAACGCCTGTAGATGTTACGTGAGGGTAAGGAAGCATGAGATGTTTGTCTTGAAGGCATCCTTACTTAAGAATGCCACTACAGGGTTTACTGCAGGAAAAAGCCATAAGAAAAATGATGACTTCCTCAACAAGAAATAAAAAAAGAAAGGGAAGCCTAGCACAGAAATGCAAAGTGTCCAGCATAGCTATGCTTGCTTTTCTGTTGGTTTTCTCTGAGAATTTCATACATGAATATGTTTGTCTAATCTACCCCAACTTCCTCCCCTTCACTTTCTCCCCCCCCCCCCCCCCCCCCCCACCCTCTCTCTCTCTCTCTCTCTCTCTCTCTCTCTCTCTCTCTCTCTCCCCCCCCGTCTCCCCACCACATTTCCCTCCAAATTGTGTATGCTCCTTTTTTAGAGGGCCTGTTGTATCCACGTCGTGTTTGGTACATAAGTGTGAGTGTAAGACCATCTACAGGAACATGAGTAGCTTCTCATGGGTCACATCCCTGAATGAAACTGACTCCTTCCCCCAGCAGCCATCAATTGCCCATAGTTGCTCAGACAGGGGTAGGATTTCATTAGCTTCTCTGTCACCCCTGCTAGGATTTTGACTGTCTTGATCTTGTGCAGGTCTTGTGTGCACAGCCCCATCCATGGGAGTTCATGAGTCCAATGCTGGTGTTGTGTCCTGAAAGTGGCTTAGCTCTTGTTTTTTTATTTGATTAATTTACAATTTTACAGTATGGTCATAAGTAGGTACCTTATGTTGGTAGTTTTCTCCTAGTGAAATAACCTTTACTGCTAATTGGAGGAATTGGGACACAGGACTGCCTTGAAGGTCAACTATTTGCTCCTCATTCAATATCCATAGTATTTATGGCAAAGTAATAAGTAAATGTGCCAGGCACATTTTTATCACCCATGACAGTGTGTCTCTCTTTATAGATCTTCAAATCTACTCTCTACTGAGCTCCCAAACCTCCCAACCCATGGTTATATGTAGTCATGAAAGGATAGAGGAGAAACTGAGAAATGTCATAGATTAACAGGGGGACCAGAGGAGGAAAGCTACATGCTGGGCATCATTTCCTGTGCTCTGTGGATACTCCTCCACTCCTATACTTGAATCTTCTCCCAAGGCTTCTAGTATTCATTAATCTCAAACTAAATCATCTGGAGTCTAAAGAGCACATTCTGGTTCTAAGGTTTAAATAGAAGAGCTAAACTAACAACAAGATAAACAGCATTGTGAGTAACTTACTAAGAAAAAGGAAGATGCCATTTTAGGAAGTTGCCATGGTTTTTCACATGCAATTTTATTTTCTCATTTTCATTGTCTATACAGCAGAAACCACCAGTTTCATTTGAAGGTGACTTGAAAACTAAGTGTCTGTTAAGTGACAGTTTAGCATAAGTATAGTTTTGATTTTGTGAAAGAACTTTGAATGTCTTAGGCCCCAAAGTTTTGAAGACCTGTGGCATGTTGTAAAAGGAGTCTCCCTGAGCTGGCTGTGTGCTGCACGGATAAGACATACTGTGCATTCTCTCCTCCAGGAGTACCAGCCTTGTAACACCAATGCATGCCCAGAGTTGAAGAAGACCACACCGTGGACTCCCTGGACACCTGTCAACATCTCGGACAATGGTGGTCACTATGAGCAGCGGTTCCGATACACATGTAAAGCTCGCCTGCCAGATCCAAATTTGCTGGAAGTGGGAAGACAGAGGATTGAAATGCGGTACTGTTCCAGCGATGGGACCAGCGGCTGCTCCACAGATGGTAAGGAAGTTCTATGAGACTGGCCACTTAATGGAAAGCCTTTGTCCTTGTCTCTAAGGAAATAGAAAAATCGTGGGAGTCTCTGTTCAAACTTTGTTGTGCCTATGGTAGATCCAAAATAGTTTGTGTGAGGTTTATTTAATATAAGAGAATATGTTGAAAAGAGTAGCCGTCACAAAAATAGTAGCTGAAAATTAGATTCCCCCCTTTTAAAAACCTTAAAGTAGCCAGGCAGTGGTAGCACATGCCTTTAATCCCAGCACTTGGGAGGCAGAGGCAGGCGGATCTCTAAGAGTTCAAGGACAGCTTGGTCTACAGAGTGAGTTCCAGGAAAGCCAAAGCTGTTACACTGAGAAACCCTATCTTGGAAGAAAAAAAAAAAAAAAGTCCTGAAGTAACCAAAGACAGTAGAAGTACATTTCTTTATTTATATCTAAAGTGATTATTTTTCTGTTAAATAGCACATTGGATCCAATTATGCTAATAGTGCTTTAACCTAGTGGTTTTGTGCTGTGGGATGTCCTGTAACCATGAGCCACATGGCAAAGTATAAATTAATAGAAATGAGTTAATTTAAGATAGAAGAACTAGATAACAAGAAGCCTACCACGGCCATATAGTTTGTAAGCAATATAAGTCTCTGTGTGTTGGGTCTCGGTTGGGTCTGAGCGGCTGCAGGACTGGTGGGTGAGAGAGATCTGTCCTGACCGTGGCCAGGCAGGGCTGGAGAAAACTTCAGCAACAGTTTTGTGAATGTTTTGGAGAGCCAAGGCAGATGCAGCCCCATCCTCTGCCTGGCCTGGACACTGCCCATGGTCTGTCAGGCAGTTCTCTCCCTGGACTTCCTGCTGGAATGGTTGAGCCTTTTCCCCAAGCTTCACTATTTGCTTTGTTCTTCCTTTAAAAAAAAATACTTTTATCTGATTGCACAAAATACATTCTGGCTCTTAAAAGGAAAGAGACACTCATAGAGGAGTTCCCACAGGATGGCTTCATGAGAAGGGCAGTTACATCAGTGACAGAACATTCATAAGCATTACTCAGCACTGTGATTGTGATCGTCCTTGATTCTCCCAACGTGAGTGTTGGTGCTCCTAGATTGGTGTTCAGACACAGGAAGGGTCAGATAGGTCACATTTATTTATCCCAGTCAAGCTCTAAGGGATGGGCTGCACTGCTCTCTGGTCACAGATACCCATGCCTTCTCTGGGTGTGGATAGCCTGCCTGGATACCTGATGAATAACAATTCTTGTAGAGCAGCATGCACTTCCAAAACACTCCCCTACATCCTCTATATTTTCTGACACATCTCAGACTGCTGATACGTACAGTTCAACAATACATAGCCCATTGCTTCTTAAAAGGGACACAGTCTACTCTGATGAAGGGTCTTATGAAAATAAATGTACAACTTAGAACTAAAGCCATCACTTGGAAGAGGAGCAGCAGAGAACAGTCACTCTTGCTCTTTTTATAAAAACCTGCTGTTACTCAAAGAAAAGATTTACTTGGAAATTCCCAGACAGGAGAACAGGAGACCCAGCTGGAAAATGTACATTCTATAAAGGGCAATCTTATCATTTTAATCAAGATTTTGAGATAGAATATGAGAATTCAAAGATGAATTTCAGATATTATTTCAATTTTTTCCCATTATATCCTATATGACTATCTTAATTATATCCCATATATTGTCTTAAATACAGCTATGCCCTATAAAGTCTAAATGGGAAACACATATCCTAAAATATTATTATTCATCTTAAATTCATGTTTAATTGGTCTTCCTTCATTTCACTTGTTGGGATGATGACCTTTTCATGAATTTACTTACACCATTTTTCTGTATGGGCCATGACATTTATTTATGGTGCCCTCAAAGTGAAATGTAATGAAAATGAAGCATGGTATATCTTTAAAATTGACTTTATTTTCCTCCCTTAATGCATATTTTTATTCTTTCCATTCTCAGATACATATAACACCAAAGCTAGTATGTTTTAAATATTAATAGTATATATATATATATTATTCATGAAAATATGTTTTAAAAAATGATTTTATAAAAATTTATAAATTTTTGTAAAAGTACATTATACAACGATAGCCTATATTTTATTAAAACTGCAAGCATTGCCCATGGTGTAAAGAAATGTAAACAGTCTATGTTTTGATGGTTCTGAGTTCTGATGATCATCCTCACATCGTGTTATTGATGTCTTGAAAACTGAAAATTGAACACATGTGCTTCTGAACACAGAAAAGGAGCGTTGCCTACCATTGTTTCTTTATTGATAACCCACAAAACACTGGCCCGTTTCAAAAAGCCACTCCTAATGCCTTATCTTAGAAGACCATCCTGCCTGCATGGCACCAAACAAGAAGCTTGCCCAGGAATGGCTGGGGTGTTGGTGTTTGCTTGCTTGTGAGAACAATTGCCTACCACATGACCCGTGGTTGGTGAAAACATCACTATTCGTGAGACAATGACTGCATGGGTTTAATATTGTAAGTCGGGCTGCATCTTCTTCACACAAATTTTGACTGAGTCTGATTAAGTAAGTAAAAATGCCCAGAGCAGGTCTGATATGCAAGGAGTCTTCAAAAACAATTCACATATTCTTATAACGCTTGTCCATCCTCACCCCACCACTACCAGCACCCCTAATCCCTACTGTTCCATTTTGTTAGCAAGCATACGTGCAACATCTTAGGCAAGCTTATTCAGGGATGGGATCTGTGCAAGCTCTCTGGAGCAAACTGTTGTCTTCATGGTCTGTGATCCAAGAGGGATTAACTTTGATCCTGTTACAGCATGAATTCACACTGAAAAGGTTAACTTTGAAGGCACAGGTCTAAGACAAATATCTTTCCTGTAGCCCCAGTCCCATGGTTCATGAGGACAGTTTGCAGTAGAATTCCTAAAGAAAGTGAACCGGGGGCATTCTTTAGCGTCCTCTACAGAAGAGAGAAGAATCACTGACGTGAACTTGCTGGTTGCAAATGTGTTGCCACATTCAGATGGAGTACCACCTGCATCCTAATTAGACAGTAACTACAGGAAAGAAGCATGAGTTCTAGGAGGCTGCCATTCAGCTACAGTGGGTTTGGGGCCTTTGAAGTATGAAAAGGGTTCAGTTGACTACTAGGGTAATTCTGGACTTAAAGCGAACAGCCTACACTGCAGAACCACACTTTGGGTTTCCTTGGCAGGTCTTTCTGGAGACTTTCTACGAGCTGGGAGATACTCTGCCCACACAGTCAACGGGGCATGGTCAGCATGGACTTCCTGGTCACAGTGCAGCCGCGACTGCAGCAGAGGCATTCGGAACCGGAAGCGTGTTTGCAACAACCCAGAACCCAAATATGGGGGCATGCCCTGCCTTGGCCCATCCCTGGAGTTCCAGGAATGCAACATTTTACCCTGCCCAGGTAAGTGGATCACAGTGTGAAAAAGACTGGGAAAACTGTGTGTTTGCAGCCTTTAATAACTGAAAGCCAGTGGAAGCCGCTGGAGACCTCCCTCACTTTGTCTTCTTTGGGGTTATTAGTCTGTGATGAAACACCATGACCAAAATAACACGCGGAAGAACAGGTTTATTTCACTCATAATTCCATATAACAGATTATCATCAAAAGTTGCAGTGACAGGAACTCAAACAGGGCAGGAACCTGGAAGCAGGAGCTGTTGCAGAGGCCATGGAGGGGTGGTACCTCCTGGCCTACTCCCTCTGGCTTGAAAAGCTTGCCTTCTGTAAAACTTAGGACCACCAGCTCAGGGATAGCACCACCCATTATAGGCTGCGCCCTCCCCTATCCATCACTAGTGAAGACAATGCCCTACAGGCTTGTCTGTAGCCAGAATTTATGGAGACATTTTCTCAAATGAGGCTCCCTCCTCTCAGATGACTTTAGCTTGTATAAAGCTGACATAAAACAATACAACACATACTCAGATCTTGTGGTCTAAGCCCTGTCACTAGTTGGAAAAAATTTTATGTGTTGTCCCCAAAATGAGTGTTAGACACTTTCAGGATGCAGATAGAACCAACCCCTTCAATATGACCTCTGCCAAGTCCATACAGTCATGGCTGCCACAGTGCCATACCAGGGACACCAGCCTGCTGTGGATGTCATTCTGTATAAATAAAACACTGATTGGCCAGTGGCCAGGCAGGAAGTATAGGCGGGACAAGGAGAGAGGAGAATTCTGGGAAGTGGAAGGCTGGGTCAGAGAGACACTGCCAGCCGCCACCATGACAAGCAGCATGTGAAGATGCCGGTAAGCCACGAGCCACGTGGCAAGGTATAGATTTATAGAAATGGATTAATTTAAGCTATAAGAACAGTTAGCAAGAAGCCTGCCACGGCCATACAGTTTGTAAGCAATATAAGTCTCTGTGTGTTTACTTGGTTGGGTCTGAGCAGCTGTGGGACTGGAGGATGACAAATTTGTCAGGAAAACTCTAGCTACAAGTGTCGCCCAATGTGGGGCTCAGACCCACGACCCTGAGATTAAGAGTCTCATGCTCTACCGACTGAGCTAGTTCCCAGTTCCATCTCGCCTATTGCATAGAGGGGCCCACCCCATGAATGAAACCCTCTAAGGACAGATTTCTCTTCTGGCCACTAATAGAGCTGTGTGTCACCTGACTGTCTAGTCTCAGGCTCTTTAACACAAAGTCTTAAAGCGATCATAACCTTGTCCTGTGTACACCACCTTTGCCTTATGCCTGAGTAGAAGCCCCAGGAGTTCTGATCAGGCTCACACACCGTAGTGATCTCAGCTATTGCACAGGCATGGCACACCTAGAAATACCTGTGGATAGTTGTCAGATGATGAAGGAACAAAGCACTGGAAAATTGGTCTTCCTTCCACAGAGAACACCATTGATTTGTACATTACAAATAGTATAAATAAAATTTTCCCATATGGGCTGCCAGTGCTCCCCCTAAGAGCCATAGACTATCTGACAGAAACCCAATAACAGGCATATATATTTTTATGATATATATATCATAAATAATGTCAGCCTAGTACAGTCACTGATTCCTGGTTTTGTGCTATGTTGCCATGCAGTGGCCACATCAGCTGAAGACATATAAACTAGAATCATAATAAGTAAACCAACCAGGGTACTGTGAGCCTAGTATTGAGGGGTAGGAAGGAGTTTATCAAATTGGCAAGCAGGAATGAGAAATCCTGTGTAGGAAAAACTTTTTCCAAATATTAGATACATTGGTTTTAAGAGAATAAAAATCTTAGCATCTATTCCTGCAAATACATACAACTTTCTAAATTATTTGAATAATAAACTGTCTTGTAAGAGTTTAATAAGCATTTGGTAGGGAAAGGATAGGTGGATGGATAAATATTAAATGGAAGGATAGATGGATGTCTAGGTTATCTTTGAGTAGATGGATGGATAAATGATAGATGAGTAGACAGATGGTAATGGATTGGTAAATATGTAGGTAAAGTTAAAATCAAGGTCCCAGCTTTGTTTTGATGCTTTTCCTTTTATAAATAACTTTTTTTTAATTTTTGAGATTATAAGATAATTATTCCATTACCCCCTTCTCTCCCCTCCCTTCAAGCCCTCTCATGTACCCATTGCTCTCTTTCAAATCATAGCCACCTTTTTTAAAATTTTATTGAATACGTTCATAAATACAACCTGCCCGGTATGTATGCTACTTGTATGTATGTTTTCTGGGCTGGCCATTTGGTATTGGACCACCAGTTGGTGTGCTCTTCTCTGTGGAAAACTGTCTCTACTGTTTCCAGCATTGATTTGCCTGCAGTTCTTTGTGTAAAATGGAGGACTCTTGAGCTTCCCTCCTTACACATTAAAAATGGTGTCATCCTCGTTCAAGTCATGTTTATGCAGCCATGTTGGTGAGATTTTATGGATGTAGTTTCTGACATTATTAGGAGACACAAAATTCCCCAACCTCACACTTAACTTCCTGATCCTTTTGCTCTTACAGCCTTTGTTCCTCCTCTCTCACAATTCTACCTGAGCCTTGAGTACAAAGTTACATGGTAGATGTTATCCGTCATGACTGAGCTCCACAGTTCTATACTTTGATCCCTTGTGGTTTTCTGTAATAGTGTCTGTCTGTCTGTCTGTCTGTTACAAAGAGAAATTTCCTAGATGAGGGCACTACACTTATCTATGGCTATAAGTATAACTAGTTAGAATATAGTTGGGAACTATGCTGGTTTGGTAAACCAGTTGCAGTTGTACTAGTGGCAGTTGTATGTTCTTCAGGATCCCTGACTTCACTAGCCCTGGGTAGCTGGCTAGCTTTCCAATCCTAACCATGATTTTCCTCTTACTGAGTCATCCTGAAATCCAATTAGAGAGCTTTTGGCAACTGCTAAAGTATGTGTACCACTACTGCACCTGTAGGGTTACAGAATCATGATGTTCATTGTTATGGTTCATAGGCATCATAGGTGGTAGGACTACTGGTTGCTTGTCTCCTTTGGAAATGTTTATTGTACCTTCTGGGTATCATACAAACTAGTCCTCAGGGAGCAGACTTTTGGATCACATCAGCTCAGGTCCTGTGGGCCCTGTGTCTGAAGTAAATGTGTATTTTCAGAAATAGCAATTTACCTTACACCTCTGGATGGCAACCAGGGACAACAATAGTCTAGAATGTTTTGGGATTCTCTTGGACAACCTGACCAACAACTCAAAAGAGAGATGTTTAGGTCTGTTAATGGGTTTCTGTTAGATAGTGTATGGCTCTTTCAGGGAGCATTGTCAGCCCATATGGGAAATTTTTATTTATACTATACGCATACATACTTACATGTATTATAGGTATTTGTAGGTATATATCTAAGAGTTATGATTCCTTATGAGTTTTCAGACATTTTCCTATTGTCTTCCTGCTGTATTTAGCTCTGTCCCCTCTCCCTAGTTAAAGCCCCCATTTCCCCCACTCTCCTCAGATTGCTTGATTCTAGATTCCTCTCTCTTGCTCTTCATCACCACCACTCCACAATGGCCCCCCTTTCCCCTTCTGGTTTCTATAGTTACTCCAGGTTATATACTCACATCTGGCAATGTGTAGTTAAGAACATCAGATGAGAGACAACATGCAACGTTGTCTTTCTAGGTGTTGGTCACACCACGCAACCTGAACTTCTCTAGTTCCTTCCATTTTCCTGTAACAATGATATTCAATGGTGTCTCTGCTCCTCCAGTTGTGCTCTTCCCATGAGGCCTTTATGCCTGAATTTCTCCGGCCTCAGGCTATTCCTCTTCAGACTACACAACTTTCCCAGTTAAACCGAGGCTGAGATGCTGGGAAAGGTCGAGGAGTTGTTCTTTCCCACAGCCCATGTAGGAAAATTCCTCCCCCGGTGTTTGGAGGCAGCGTGGGCGATATCACTAGATTTGAATCAGAGCTGTGAACTGGAGCCAAGGAGAATGATATGGGAATGCCAAGTTCCCTCCATCACCCTGTCTTCTCTAGACTCCAAACTTAATTTCTCGGGTCCATTAGTAGCCCATGTGGAGTCCTAGAGATGTTTGGATGTGATCCTGGTCCCTAAGGGTAAATGTTTCTTGTCCATTTTTAGGACACTCTGATAGCATCATCTGTGAGTAGTTTTAGTTTTATTTTTGTTGACTTGCTGTTGAGCCAGGATTATGTGTACATGACCTGAATATCTTAAAATAACTCTGTCCTCATTTTCTTTTACAAGCCAAAATTCCTTTGCAGAGTTCTCCATGTCTTTGCCCAAGGGATTAGAACATTCAAGGTTGAATGTGTGAGCACCAACTTTATCTTTTTTTTTCTGAAGGAATTTTTTACTCATTTTTATATACCAATGACAGATCCCCCTCTCTTCCCTCCTCCCGCCCATCTCCCAGCCTTAATTTCCTCACCCCATCCTCCATCCCCTCCTCCAAAAAGGTAAGACAGAGCCTGCTACATTCAGATGAGGCAGGTTCAGCCCCCCCCTCCACACACACACATCAAGGCTGTGCAAGGTGAATACTCAACTTTATCTTTTACCGCCCATAAAATTCCTAAAAATGTGACAACCTGTAACTCAGCTATGAGTTGGTAGGAAGTCCCCCTACACTGTGGAGGTTGAACTATATGTCCAAAAGAATCCATATATTTAGGGTAATTTTTACATAATTTAGAGCATATTATTCTATAAAAACTGATGTTTTAACTGTACTAGGTTCCTCGTGAATGATTACAAAAAACATGATCATTTTTTAAATGTTCTCAGAGATTGCAAACAGATCAATGGGTCACAGCACTTGGTATATGAGCATGAGGATTTGCATTTGAATTCTCAGCATCCACATATATGGGCAAGTCTGCATGTGCCTGTAAAAACAACATTGAGAGCAACAATAGGAGATCCCAAGAGCTCTCTGGACAGTAAGCCTAGCCAACATGGTAATCTGGTTCAAAAAGATAAAAGACTTTATCTCAAGGCCATAAGACAGAGAGAGTATGATAGTAGGAGGCACCCAATTTCCTACTCTGGCCTTTGTGTGCATGGCCATGAGGGTTCAGCCAGGGTGAGGATAGAGCTGAGCAATGTAGTGCTTGTCTCAAATTCTGGAGGCTCTGGTTCTATCTGTGGCACTAACATAAGTAAATAATAGTAAAATCAAGTGCATACTAAAATGATTATTCTTCACCTTCTGAACCTGCTCCTGCATAATTTATCTCAACACTGAGAGCCACATGATGGTTTCTGATCATAACTTTTTTTTCCTGGCACATTTGATGTAGCAGTAAAGACTCCGGACTGTAGACCTTGCCTGGAAAAGCTAGAGACAACAGATGGTTCTTTGTTGCTATGTGTATTCAAATAAGATGAAAGCAACTCAAAGTTGTACTTAGACACCAATAAAACCCAGCACAATAAACATAAGTTCTTTTGATCCGATTTATCTCAGCAGGTTCCTTTTGCTTTTCTTCTGTAAACAACAAGGCCCAGGGAAAAGGAACACTGAGAATATGATGGAAGGGCACAGTGAATCAAACTGGGGGCTCTGGGACTCTGGCAGGTGTGTCTTCTCCAGAGAACAATACAGAAACCTCTGGTACTCAGAGGACACTGTGCTTTCTAGCTGCAATACCCTTGGACCTCCACAGGGGGAGACAGAGAGTAGAAGAGACTTCTACTCAATGCTCCTTTAGAGGAAAAAAAGCCCTGCTGCTTGGAGGTCCAGGCTTCAGCATGCCGGGGAATCAGCACCACATATTCCCATGAACTGACAGACTGTAAATGCTCCACTCTGTCCCCTGACCACCCACAGTGGGATTGACACTTGGGGGTTAGTTATGCAGCTTTATCTTGCTCTCCTTCATCAGTGGTAACTGTATTCTGTTTTTATCTTATTGTAGCAGTTGAGTATTTAACTAGAATTACAAGAGCAATGATTTTCTATCCTTGTCCATTGAACTATTTAATGTATGAATTTCATTTCAACAAAAAACGGTTCTCTGTCACTGATTGCTTTCTTTCCTTGGAAGAAATAAGGATCTAAACTTCAGGGTGTTTGATCTTCTCATGAACCAGTCTTACTTAGGATACATTAAATGGTGATTCAAGCCCTGGGCAGAATCCAGCATAGATGACAGGAATTATGTGAACTGTTGGAATGTCTGTTGCCGGAAGTATTGATTCTTAGGGTGCTTCATATTAATTATTACAGCACATGACTCATGGTTCTGAAACTAGACTTTTCAAGTCACATACTTTGAAAGTCTGTGCTGTGCTGGTGCTTAGAAATTGTGTTTAGAAATATTTTCTGATGGACAAACAGGGAAGTAGAAAGTGTTAGAAGGATTCATCAAATCTGTAGCTTCTACTGAGTAGGGAACCTCAGATGTCCCCACACCATGAGTAGTTTCTATTTTTTTTTTTTTTTTTTTTTTTTGGTTTTTTGAGACAGAGTTTCTCTGTGTAGCTTTGCACCTTTCCTGGAACTCGCTTTGGAGACCAGGCTGGCCTCGAACTCACGGAGATCCTCCTGCCTCTGCCTCCCAAGTGCTGGGATTAAAGGCGTGCGCCACCACTGCCCGGTGAGTAGTTTCTTGCTGTGTGTCCTGCTGTCTTCTACGTGGCATATCCTACCTCTAGCTGTATCATATTGGTCTGGTGGGGACCTCAGACATGCTATGTTTTTTTGTGTTCTTTCACAGTGGATGGTATGTGGTCTTGTTGGTCATCCTGGTCAAAATGCTCAGCAACCTGCGGTGGTGGACACTACATGAGAACCCGCTCGTGTACGAATCCAGCCCCAGCCTATGGAGGGGACATCTGCCTAGGACTGCACACAGAGGAGGCGCTCTGCAACACACAGACCTGTCCAGGTATATATGTCCTTGGCGACTGTATAGCCTTAGTGCAGACTCACCTTTCTTAATTAGGAATGCAAGTCACAGTAAATACTGGAAATAGAGGAATGGACGGCGGGTCAATCTCACACTGTTACCCCTGATGTGATTTAGTGGCACTTTGTTCTACAGTGAAGTAGTTTTCATATTGTACTCTTTTCATCACAAATGGGAAAGGGCACCCATGTTGGAGCATCGATACTACCTACCTAGGAAATATACCCAACTCACTTTGACCTTACTAAGTAACACAGATGACTCTCACATAGCACCTTACTTGCTTTGTTGGAGGAGAGAGAAGATTGGAAGAAGTGGAAAGCAAGAAACCCTTGTAGAACCCCCACCCTGGTGTGTAGGGAGAATGTCTTGTGGCTCCTTGTTTCCGAGCTTATCCTGGCCCAGCACATGTTGCATGCTTGAAAATAGCCTAGAAATGTCCCAGGGGAACACTGGGCATTGTGGGAGGACACTTGACTCAGGGCAAGGGCTATACTCAAAGGCAGCGCAGTGAAAATACAAGGCATGAAGTCCAGTCAGCTATCAGAGGACCAAAGCAAAGCAAGCAACAGAGGGTGGTGATAGGAGGAAGTGTGCCTCTTCAGGACTGTGGACGGGGAGAGCTCTAAACCCGTGGTTGATGTAAGATGTACCAGACAACCTTTTACCAAAGAGGTAACCTGGCATTCTGACACACCCCTCATGGGATGAAAATGAATTACCTTTCTACATTTAACTTTAACAGTGAAATCCTTTAGCAGTGTGCATGCATGCACAGACCTTTCTAGAAAGTTGCATCTATTTTAAAAGGGCCTCAAAAACCAAATTCTCATGATCATTCCAAAAAAAATCAGTCTTTTATGTCTTCAAGAGAAAAAGCCATTCCATTTGTGTGGATCAATGCACGGCTTGAATTTCTAAATTCTAACAAAAAATAATAAAATAAAAAAGGAAGATGTTCTCCTTTTATGGGTGATTAATAATATGTAGAGTTCATTCTTTGACTTGATATATGAGTCCTATCCCTATGTGTGAACATCTCTACACCTGGATGGATTGAAAAGCATTCCAACAAGTCCTCCATCTTCGGGCAGATGTGTCCTGCCACTGCTCATCCTTCTGCCTTGACCAAGGATATCGGAATTGACTTTATCCACGTCAGTAGGCCTGGAGGGAAATGAACTCTGATTGGCTGGCTTGGCATTGGCATGGTGACTTTACAAAGTTGGTTTATTGCAAAAGAAAGGTGCTTTAAACTTTCATTCTGAAGCCAGGGATTTCCGCATGTGGTGCTAGCTAGCATGCAACCCCGGGGGAAATGTCCAGCAAATCATCTGAGGACCTTTTTGTAGGAGGGCTTTCTATGTAGGAAATGGTGCCTGAACTGATGATTTCTGATTCACAGAGCTCATGTTTGTCTCAAGAATTAGCTAGTTGGCTATTTTAAATAAAAATATTCACAGAATTATGATGTTATGGGACTTAGAACATTTACTTTAAATACATTATATCTATATATATTAAAATGTTTAACTCTTTTACTCATTCTTTTGTGGATTTATTTACTGGATTGGTAAAAAGCTATGACGACATCTTACTTATGCACAGAACCATTAAAAACACAATATAAAAGCCTAAAGCACAGCCTGACTTGACTGTGATTGGTTGATATCATCAGGTAACCTCACCTCTCCCCCTCTTCTGGTCTCTGTAGAAAGCTGGTCATTGTGGTCAGACTGGTCTGTGTGCGATGCCTCTGGTATCCAGGTCCGTGCTCGACAGTGTATTCTTCTGTTTCCTGTGGGCAGCCAGTGTTCCGGAAATACCACAGAGAGTCGGTCATGCGTGTTTGACTCTAATTTCATCCCAGGTAAGGGCAGAGATGTTTATCAGTGTGAACAGAGTCATTCCAATATACAGAGAGGAAATGACCCATTGGGTCAGACTTTTATCTGCTCTTGAGGCTGCCTTTGCTGAATTAAAAATGATCCTATCAACTGTTGTGGTTTCAAGGTGACAGGAATATAGATTCACAGGTGACTGCAAATTAGATTGGAATTTGGCACTATATCTTATATAAATCAATTATATAATTGATGCTAATGTTGTGTGAGGATTTGCTACAAAAATTGAAAACTGATGGCTTGTTTTAATATCAGTGTAAATACTTTACTATGACAATGTTGTGTATTTGCACAGAGAAGAGAGTCATTGTCTTCATGTAACTCTCAATATACTAGGGAACATCGATGTCTGTCATTAATGTTGCCTTGAAAAAAGGGTTGGAAGTTCCTCTTGCCACAGGCTTTTTATTGGAAGTCAACATTTAGTTATCACAGGGGACAAACATTTGTTGCAATGGCCCAGTAGGGTGGCATTGTACTTATGCATAAGCCCCCGAAACACAATCCTCCTGCATCTATGGGACATTATATGGACTAAAACAAAGACTAAACTATTGTGAAGAAATAATGGGATTAAATTATAGAAGCACAGTTTATTCATTTCTTTTGATTTGTGGAAAGAACAGTAATATTTTACACAGGACTGATAGCTTTAGCCTTAGAAGGCACCTCAACCACATACGGCCTATGAGTGTTGTTATTTTTTGTTTAACATACTTTCAGTTTTTCTTATGTAATGAAAAACCAGTGTAGGAGAGTCTGGCCTTCCTAAACACCTGGGGTGTTAACACACTCGGAAGACCTGCCATCTCATTCACATCCTCCTGGTCTATTTCACATGTGGCACAAGAAAGTGAATGCCTAGGCTTCTGAGTAGAGTTTTCCTTGATCTCTGGTGATTCAACCTTCAGTTCATAAAGAATGCTGCACCAGAAAAACAACACAGGGCAATGTTATTGGGGGTCCCTAGCTGATGAGACATGTCATAACAGAAATTAGTACTTGCTCTTGTTTCAAGCCCAAGGTACCATGGCATTTTCTTCTTTGGTATTGAATACCATCCCCTCCTAGTGAGGATGACATAGTCAGATCCACCACAGGTTTATTAAAACAAAGGAACAGTCAACACTTCTGATAATTAACCAAGCTTTTGAACCTTAGATTCATGTTGAATTCAAAATCAATGAATGAAATGATTGTAATGAAGCATGGATATAAACTTCCCTCCCACCTCCTTTGTGCATAGTGATTGGATTTTTGTTTTTCCAGAAGTGTCTGTGGCAAGATCCAGCAGCGTAGAAGAGAAAAGATGTGGAGGTGAGTTCTCCTGTTTAATGGAGCTCTTGTTGGAACTCTGACATATTGTAACCTTTCTCTTCCCATGGTGTTCTGCAGCTGGACATGGGTGGCTGGGCAGGGAAGCCCCTGAGTACCCCCTCATATTGGTCATGATATACCAGACTCCCCACTAAACACTTTTAGGGACAGATGTGTCCTATCAGCATTTCACAACACTGATAGATGTTTGTGTGAGGCACTTGGAGATAGGCTTTGGAAGTCAACAACTTCAGATCTAAGATGGGAGAGTCAGGCCATGTGCTAATACTGTCCAACCACTGTAGGCTCTGTCCAGAACCAGCCTCTCTAGTGATGCCATCATCAGACATGAGACAAAGGAGTCAGCTTGTCACATTTTGCTGCCAGCTAAGTGAAGAAAAACAATTTTCAGAGATTTTTATATTGGCGATTGTACTAAAAGAATAGTAAGCATCAGTTTTTATCTATATTATATAGGTGGGGACCATGAAACTCAATGAGGTGAGGCTACTGGCACAAATCTTTATAGGTCATGAGTAAAGGATTCAGGGATAGAATCCTGGCAAAAGAATGCAACAGAGGTTTTACATTGAAAACATCATGGGAAAAGGAGCCCAGTAGATTCCTGGGAAACATGTGGGAGGCTTCTACAGCAACCCTGTGTGGGTCATACTCTTGGTCAGCACCAGGATTTAGACCAGACTGTGTGCCAACCTTAAGGAACTGCAGGTTAGGAATGCAGCTGTGCAGAAATTGTGTTCTGTCTTCAGAGAGGTCAAGATAGACCTGAGGGTCACCTGGGTGGTACATCAATGGAGTTGACTGGCCATCCATGCTTGCTGCCAGAGTCTTTCAACTTTTTATTCCTCTGGCTAGAGAGCTGGGTCTGTGCAAGTCCTTTAAGGGCTTTGAGCAAATCCAGCATCTAACCTGGTGATGTTATTGGCTAAGTCTCAGAATCTAATTACTCTGCATTGTTAGGAAACTGACTGTTTTAACCTTCAAGCTACTGGCATTGCTGTTCCAGCATAAGTAGGTAAGATGGATCTTAGGCTGGAGCTGATGGGTTTAACATAACTAATTATATAGCATGAATGTTTGGGGAGGTTTAGAGAAACAGTATAGATTTTGTATCTCCGTTGGTTAAAAATCAATCAAACATTGCATAGAAAGCAATTCAATTGAACCGACTGGATGGTTGGTCTCTATTCCATCCTCATTGTCCAAAAACCAAAGGAAAAATGGGCTAATAACAGAAATTAGCTAATAACAGGAATAAGAGAAACATGTCTGCCATTCTGCCACCAAGACAAGTGACCTGAGTTCCATCTCAAGGTCCCATGTAGTGAAAGAACAGAACTGACTCCTTAAGTTGTTGTTTGGCCTCCATGTTTATGTCATGCTACCTGCACATATATATGAGCATGTGAGCATGCACACGCACACACAGCACACCCAAGTAAATCTTAAAAAGACAATGCATATATTTAGGGAAGAGCCACGGTGTACAGAATCGCATGAGATTTAGTAGGTACTATTTTTCCCTTTGCAGAGAATGTGCTCCTATTGAAATCTTTCAGCTTAGCTATTTTTAGTTGCAGGAGACACAAAGTCTGAATAATCTCATCATAAAGATGTCAGCTGGCCACAGCTTCCCCAGGCACCTACAGGAATAATTCATATGACTAATGATGCACATCTGCATGTGGAGACCATTGCACATCTTCCGTATGCAGCAATGAAATATGAGTTATAAGTACAGTAGAGAGTATTTTTATCAGTATGTGGCACCGGCTCAGGGGAGTCCTAACAGCAAAAATAGAGAAAGAAATGAGAGCCAGTGTGTGAAATCAGCCTTGCTTATCATCACTATAGCCTCCATCTTCAGTAAGAACAATACAGTTCTAATGTTCGTTGGTGGAAAGGGTGCAGAACAGTTCGTGCAATAGTCACACACTAAGAGCCCTGCCCGGTCACAGTCTCCATGGCAAAGCAGGAAACACCCAAGGCTTGTGACCTCCCTCTATGATCTTACCAGTGAGCAAATGAGCTAGGAGGTAAAGAATTGAGGTGATTCTTCACTCAGCTGTCAGGAAGCGGCAGGTTCTTGTAGAATGTTCTCAATAGATTATCCAGTCGTTAGGGTTAGGGACTTCTAGGGTAGGAACTTCACTATCTGTTCAGAATCTCAGTGCACTTAGGAGTGTGTGTTGATCATTGCTGACAGTGAGCCCAGTGAGGGAGGTCCATCTCTCCGGGATCTGCATTCTTAGAACAGTGTCCGGGAACAGACAGAAACACAGTACAGAAGGAAACGCAGGGTCAGAGGGCATGTGGCAGATCTTCAACTTCTACTGTGTAACACACAGGTCAGGCCCTAAGGACATGTCTTGTATTTTGATGCTGAGATTCACCTGGGCTTCTTGATCTGGGATTCTGACAGAACCCTAGGGCCCTAGTTCTAGTATCCATTGGTAGAGTAGCAAGTGATCTTTCAACAAGTGTCAGAGCTGTAGGGTGGAGCTTCTGCTGAGTTGTAAGTGTCCTTAGTGAACACAGAGCACAGGGGAGGTGGCCCTGCAGACTCCTAGGGAGTAAGCCAGTAGAGGTCTGTTATAAACAGGTCCTGGGGATTGCAGACAGATCGACTTGTCTCCTCTAGTACTTTGAAGGGCTTCGTCCACAGTGAAGGATGTCACTCCATGTCCAAGTTGAAACTCAGTAGCTCTACCAGAGTCCCACTTGGCTCTGGAGTTGACAGATTATGGGAAACTGCCAGATGGCGTTGCATTTCCTGGTGATGCATGAGGAGACAGCCGGGGATCCTAATGATGCCCCCTGAGCTGTGAGGACATGAGGTTAATTACCTGAACATAGTTAGCCCTTTAGTGCCAGTGCAGACAAGGAGAAAGGAGGACACCTTCTGCTTCACATGACTCTCACTTAGGTCTGCTCTGAGCACTGCAGAAAGGTTGGGAACTTCAACAGAAGTGTTTTCCCAACAAGTATGGAGGTTTCCAGATGGTTGTTTCTTAGACATCCCATCACTCTTGGTGTATTGCCAGGATACCAATCAAATCCCTCCTGTGCTCAAGACACATCATTGCAGCTCACTGTTTGAATATCTCCTACCCATAACTCATGGAAAAAAGCCAAAGAGAATAGATGCCTATTAACTAGACAAGCAATGGGTCAAAAGAAAATCATCTGTGTCCAGCTAGAAGATTATATTTAGTGCCTTTAGCAGAAATCTTTATTTCTTAGATTAAGACTTTTTTTTCTAAGATCACTAAGTGCAAGTTAGAAAAAGTGGTCCACAGGTCATATACAAATTAGAGAGATGGAGGGAAGGAGAGAGGGAGGGAAGGAGGGAGGGAAGGGAGAGGTAGAGAAAGAGGGAGAGAGAATAAGTCTGCATTATCTCTAGAAAGACACAGCCAAAACTAGAGAAAGAAGAGAGACTTCTATCTCCTTCTAATTTTCAAAAGTTTCTATTATTGAACAAAATTTGTATTTGTAAACATTCAATGAACAATACCAGAGTGTATGTAAATAGAAAACAATTTATTTATTTATTTATTTTTTTTTTTTTTTTTGGGTAGTCCAGGCTGGCCTCGAACTCACAGAGATCCGCCTGGCTCTGCCTCCCAAGTGCTGGGATTAAAGGCGTGCGCCACCACCGCCCGGCAATAGAAAACAATTTAAATAAACTAAAACAGAGAGGAAGAAACAGCCTGGCTTATTTATAGGAGTGCAGCAACTGAGAGCCCCAAGTGAATTCTCCTTTCACAGGCTCTAGTCATGTTGGATAGATGGATGCTCAGTCTGTTAAGGTCCATAGACACACTGCACATAGAAAACCCACAGACCAGTGGTCACTGTGCTCTTGAAGGCTCTCTGGGGGATTCAGAGGAAAGCAAATGTGTTTCAGTTGCAATACTAACAATGTTCAAGGAATTTGAGGAAATGGTAGTAATTCATAAGAACACTGATTTGAACTAGGCTGCTCAGTATGGAGGAGTTTTTACATGGCCCTGACATTTCCAAGGAAAAAAATCTGTACCTTGGAGTATGCAGCACTTTCTTTTGTCTTTTCTTTCACTGGGGCACTTTGAGAGTCAAGTAGCATGTTCTTCTCGAGTGCAGTATAACATTGGCCCTATTTCACAGAGTTCAACATGTTCCACATGATGGCCGTGGGGCTCAGCAGTTCCATCCTCGGTTGCCTCCTCACCCTGCTTGTCTACACCTACTGCCAGCGGTACCAGCAACAGTCCCATGATGCAACTGTCATCCACCCTGTCTCTCCCGCCGCTCTCAACAGCAGCATCACTAACCACATCAACAAACTGGACAAATACGACTCAGTGGAGGCCATCAAGGTAAGGAATGGACAGTGACAGCTGCAACTAGGTCGGCCACAAAGGCATGTGACACTGGGGCTGCTAGCAAGGTGCAGTAGTAGTGGCACTGGTGATGGACAGGTACCCTGGACCTTCTAGTGCTGTGTGCTCTCTGGAGAGTACAGACAGTCTGTAGGTGTTCCCTGTGGTAGCTGTAGGAAGTCTACAAGTATTGGCTGGATACTCTTGGGGGTGGAGGGAGGGTCTCTGGAGTTTTGTTTTACTTGTTTGCCTATTCCTAATGGAAATAAAAGTTTTAAAAGGAAAACAATGATACATAAAATTCTGAGAGCTAGTAAGTCTTGGACAGTGATTAGCTATGCCTCGTCTGTGCTTCTTGCCTTTGAAGAGAGGTCTTTCAACAAAGAGCCCCCAGCCTAGGACCAAATGAATGACTGAGCAGCAATATCAAGGCCACATTATGACACTCAGATGTCCATGTCCAAATTCAGGAAAACCTAAATTTCCTTCAACCTCAGTATACTCCTTTATAAAATAGGGATGATAGGACATACCTCCATGTTGTTGTGAGGTTTCAATGACCCTATATGAGGGCCAGCATGATAGCTGCTGTCCTGTTTGTATGAGAGTCAGGGTATGGCTGGAAAGGCATCAGAGGCTTTTGTCTGATGACATCTTCTGTTATTTTTCCATGCTCATGAAGGGAAGTCTCCTAAGCCAAGACTAACCAAACTTCTGTGTTCCTGTTGAATTAGTTGTTTCCCATAACATATTTAGTGAATGATGGTATAGTCCCTCTCCCTGCCATGATAGCTAACTTTGAAACAACATTCTCTTTTATAAAAATATGCATTATGCACCACACCAAGGATCAGGGAACATTGTAGAATAGGGGTCAGAAAGAATGGAAAAGCCAGAGGACAGGGAAGAGTGCTGTGAAATAATATCTCTGGATATGATATGGCTATCTATTGCAATCATGATCTCACCAGAGCTGTGGTTACCTGCACCAGATCAAGGCATAAATAGGGCAGAGATAATCTCAAGGTCCTACCTTATTCTGAGGAGTTACTGGTAGTGGGTTGTTGCTGGTGAGGGAGAATCAGTCTTTACTGAGGATGTGGTCCATGGTGAGTTTTCTGTGTTCCAAGGGATATTCCCACACTCATCAGCATATGAGCAGTATTAACCAGACTTAGTTATCAAACCATGAAGCTGGGAGAGAGAAATGTTGAGGGATATGAGAGGAGCTGGAATGGGAAATGGGAGAACAGATAACATAATTCATTGTATGATTTTTTTTAATTGTAGAAAATTTTCAAAAATAAAGTCTTTAAAAAAGAATCCAATGAATCCACAATTAAGAAAACAACATGTATTACATTTGGCTCTGTCAGCCTCAGACAGGAGATTTATGACCCCAGGGCTGCAATGTCCTTACTTCCTTCTCTGCCACTTGTGTAGAGGTGGGGTGGGTTGTTTGTTTGTTTAACCTGTAAACTCAGCTTGAACCAGAATCCTGGATCATCACTATCTCCCACCTTTTAGGTGATGGATTTAGGAGAAAGTGAAAGACGAGGATCCATAATCTATCAGAAATGAGCTGTACCGTTGAGGAAAAATTTGAGCTGTAGGCCTTCCAAACAAAACCGCAGAGCCCCTGTAGCGCGATGCCTACCCATCAGCATGGCTGTGGTCCTGCTTCTTTAGTCAGCAGTGGGTAGCTGAGTGGTCTGTGTTCTCACCTTGGTGCAGTCTCCCATTTTGAGGTGATATTAGAAATGTTGCTGCCATGAGGGAAAAGAAGCCCAGTGGATAGGTGTCTCCCTAGTCTACAATGAATCCTTCAAGAACTTCAATAGACTAATTATTTGAAGTTAGCTTCCACCTACCCTGTTTTATCTTTGTCTTGGTCTTCTCAGTATTTACTTTCTACTGGGTATAATTAATCTCTTTGAAGTTGCATGTGACTTTAATGACAGTTAATGAGACAGGGCATCTGTGTCACAGATGGCCACAGCGGACAACTTTTAATGAGTGCAGAACAAAAAGAGACTAAGCATTTGAGTCAGGTGCACCTGCTTAAAGAAGTTCTATAACATCTTTGGTAAATTCTGATGGCTTCTGGGGGAGGAAGACTGATATCTTTAAGGGTATAATCCCTGTTCCATGCTCCAATGGATGTCCTCACACCCAGGAGTATATAGGCAGCATAACGTGGAGCCATTGGATTATCTGTTTAAAAAAATTAAAGATGGGACATTAAGGTCATGATTTGGAAGGTGGGAATGGATCTGAAAGGATAGGAAGGGATGGGATGTGAATATGATTAAAATACATTTATAAAATTCTCAAAGAATTAGTAAAAAACAACACATTAAGTGGAGCTTTTTGTGGAAGTCTAGACGTATATTAGTGTGTCCCGGGTATGGAAAATAACTTGGGCAGTGTACATAAATTTGCATGAGTCTTAGAGGCTTTCTAGAAATTCAGACTTTGGATTTCTGATTCTGTCTCCCTCGGTTCCTTCCCGATTAAAGTGCTAAAGTAGGCCAGATGCTACTGAAGACAGCCAGCCTCATCCAGTTATTAGCCAAGCCTTGAGGCAAATGAGCTGAGGAGCCAGTAAATGAGAAGACACTTTCCAAACTAATAGAGCCTTCAGAGAGAGTTCAAACTCAGCACTACATCTCCCAATTTTATTCCTTTGGAAACATTTACAGAACATTCTTAATCTTTTCAAACATATTTTACAGGCATTTAACAAAAACAACTTGATCTTAGAGGAGAGAAACAAATACTTCACCCCTCATCTCACTGGGAAGACCTACTCCAACGCCTACTTCACAGATCTCAACAATTATGATGAATACTAGCAACTCATACTCTTGGCTCCTTGTAAACCCTCTGCTCCTCAAAGCCGTGCTCCATGACTGCCCATGTTTCTGAGGCTTCAGAGATGACGTGTGGATCCATTTCAAGTGCATTTCAAGCCAAGACTTTCCCATCGCTACAAAAAGCTGCACACCCTTAAACACCTAAATGTGGTGTTGTGACAATCTGGTCTGTAGCAAACATTTGATTGTTGCTAAGTGAGCCATGGTGTGAAGTTTTGTATTGTGCTCATCCCAAATTCTAAGTGGTCTATTGTTTCATGAGTTTTATTTCACAAATGTGCCAACCACATTAGAAAGTGTCTTTAGACACAAAACATCTTCATGATTTTGAATGTAGCACTTCATGATATTTTAATTTGAAAACAAACAAAAACCAGGCACTTTATCTGAGAGGTCCCTTCCCTCCAACAGCGTCCATAGTAATGCAAAGAATGAAGATATGACTATGGCCAACTCCCCCAACCTGAGTTACTCATGGGTTTTTGGAAAGAGTTTGTTTGCACTTGGAGTGATTCCTGCCCAAGGAAGCCTAGGGATTCCACCTGCCCTGGACCTGCCCAGTCGTGGTCCACTGAGATCCTTTGCTATGGTCTGGGACGTGACTGTCGTCATTGTGTGGTGAACACATGAAGCAGAGAGCAGACAGTGAGACACACAGCAGTGTTCTGCAGCTTGCAGTGAAACTAGCCTTACTCTGACTTTTGGATTCCGTGGCATTCCAGGGAGCTCCCTGCCATGCTGGAGGCCTGAAGGCCACCTGCCTGGGCAGTGGGAACATGCTGAAGAGTCAGTCTTAACATTTGGGTAGACTCTACATCCCTCCCTCCCTGCAGGAAAAAAAAATCTTGAACATTGATGCCAATTATGGAAAATATTGAAAGTACCAAACTGTAATTGAAAGCTACTCTTTTTATTTTTTTGTGTTATGCAGTGTTGAATGAACTGATGTTTAATGATAAGCATTTTTTGTATTCATCATCTTTGATGTGTCTAATGTACATCAATGGGCCCCTATCAAGAGCATTAAAGGTGTGTCAAACTGTCCCTCTGGGGCTCAGCACAGTCACACTAGAGTGACACTCCAGTACCATGGTCTGCTTGTTTGCCCCCTGCTGCCCCCAGGCCAGAGGAGGGACAGGCTCTGAGTCTTTCGATTAGAGCTGCCTTCCTGTGCACCCGGCCTAGCCAGTTCCACTTTGTTCTGAGGCAGTAGCAGTCACAAGTACCTTGAGAGGTAATGGTTCAGAAGGTCAGAGCTTTAGTGACCCCTCTGCTCTCAGTCACTGCGGAATGTTTTAAGACCATTCCTGAGGTCCTCAGAGGAGAAAAGGAGACCCATTAACACCCGATATAGAGAATATAGGTCTCGATTTAATGCTTTTTAAAAGCAAAGACAAAATAGTTTGTCTGTGCCCCTGGTCACTATGATAAAGGCCTGAGTATTCATACATGTTCTTATTGGTAAATAAACTTTCACGTCTATGCAAATGTATAGCACGGGGAATAAAGATTACAGGGTTTTTATGAGTGTGTATTTTCCCTATTGAATATTAAAAAAGCAATCTCAGAAAATGTTCCCCCCCCAAAAATCCCATGGTTAGTCATGAATTATTCTCATATAAGCACATTTTTCAGACCTAATTCTCTGTTAAAATTGAAATTAAAATGGCAGATGGGTTCTAGGAGATGTGTCAGATTGTAAAGAAGTGGCATTTGGGGATATCCCAGTGGGACATCGTGTGGCATTTCACACACTTCTTCTACAGTGTATGTGGCCTCCATTGCACACACATTTTTAAAATCCACACTCAACAGATAGATGTGTCAGATGATTTATTTGTTGTCTCTAGGGTGGATTTTCATTGAATGCCTCAACTCATCACATTACTTTCTTTTAAGAAAAGAATAAATCCTCCTGGTGTAGCACTAAATTTTCTTGTTTTAAAAATAAGCTCCCCTTCTTGAATGTTTCCTTAACTTGAAAGGTCATTTTCTTTCCCCTGGAAAGGAGGGTGCAAATATTTCAAGAACTTATAGCTAAACTTGATAGGAAATGCATTCTAAGTGACCTCCAATCTGGTCTTTGTCAGTTTGATATAGTAACCCGACTCTAGGATTCTCATATTTGAAACAAGACAATATTTGAAACAAGACAATATTCTGACACTAGTATTGCCTTTTTAAAGCCTCATTTTTGGCTTCCTGGTTCTTTATTCAAATTTCCACCCCCAGCCACCAGGCCTGTACTCTTATTTAGTCAAACAATTGAAACAATTGCTCCGGAATACCATGGGCTGTATTCTGGTTTTCACCACCAGTGACATGGCTTCTCTTCTGGAGGAACACTGATGCTGCTCCTGGTGCAGTGCATGCCCTAAGCCAGACCTCTTAATAGTGCATCACACACACACACACACGCACGCACGCACGCACGCACGCACGCACGCACGCACGCACGCACGCACACTATGCAGAGGATATGCCATATTCCACTTTGGAACCTCCTTTTCAGAGTCGATCTTCTGTACCTGGGGACTGTTTATTTGGGGTTAGGATGCAACCTGCAGGTCACGTTTTAATTTCCAGACTGGCACTGTCATTTCCTTCTCTCCTCCCTGCTTCAACCCTCCCTCCAACCCTTCTTGCCTTCCTTCATTCCTTCGTTCTTCCCTTGCTTCCTTTTTGCCCTTTGATACAAGAAACACATGGGGGAGTGAACGTGTTTAAGCTACATCTGGCTGAACCTGTTGTCAAATGACATTAATCAGCTTATTTTTCTAGAATTAGGGTTCAAGTTTGGCTGGTTTTCATTAAGAAACTGGCTTTAGTCACATACTTACATTCTTTGGAAGCTGGTCCCAATGTTGTTTAGGGTTCTCTCTCTGATTAGACCATCATCAATCCTGCTAGGTGCTGACATCCTGCAGAAAGAAGAATAGAATCTGTGCACACTGCACAGCCTGAGACATTTCCAAATACCCTGGGGAGTTTCTTGGAACTGGGGGCCATGTCACCACTGACTGAAGCTAACTCAGTGAGTTCTAAGGAACTCTGGGACATTGGGTGAAACTATGCTTCAGAAAAAAAAAAGTCTCTGTCATCATAGTTCTAGGCTTTTTCTTCAAAACTTCCCAATGCAAGCTAGGCCTCTTTATGCCTCTGCCATTTAAAATTTACTCATGGTACCCAAGCATCCCTAGTTCTGTTGAATACATCAAAACGCATATTAAAGTAGATTCTACCTAGAATTAGCATTGACTTTGAGGGAACAGAAGAAGGTTTCTTATGCATATGTGGAGTGATAGAGACACTAAAGCAATCGAAGATAAGCCATAAACAGTAAATGTTTGTGAATGCATCTGCCATCAAGATGCCTCTGTCACCAGGAAGGACCAGTTCGCATAGTTGGGTGTGGATGTTAGGGTGTGGATGTTATTGATTCACGGGTGATACTGAAAAGAAAGGAAACAGATGTGGCCTGTGAGATGGAAAGGTGAGGGTTGTCGCTCCCTACTGAATATCCTGCATAGGCCCTGGCAGGGATCTGGCCCACAACCAAGTACTGTGGGCCTGACATTTGGACTCTTGTATAATCACATTTCCTGGGTGCATGAGTCTTAGTTAAGGGCATTGTTGCCTCCTTACTTATCTACAAAGGGATGGAAACGACCAACTCTGACACCTGTGTCAGCAAATGTTCCACATGGATCTTGCCTTCAATACTGTGGACAATTTTTCATCAAAGAGGATTCCACCTAAGGGATGGCTATGTTACTGTGTGATCAAATAGCTCAAGAGATGGATGTTTTCCTAAGGATGCACCAGGTTTACCTCTGGTCATTCATCTAAATACAGCCTATTAGTGCATAAATTTGCATGTATCCTCGTGTTTATTTGCTGAATTTTCTTTTTAGAATAAACCACAAATACTTCCCCAATAGGTATAGCCAAATTCCTCCTCAATTTTTCCACAGGGTCATCACCTTTCTTAACTTTGAGGTATCCTGGACTCTTCAGTGAGCCCTTCATTTTTAAGTCACACTTCGGGGTCCACTACATTCAGCACTACTGTCTCAAAAAAAATGTTTGGGAGCCTCAACCAGAAAAACCAGCCACCATTTACCAGTTGGTAATATAGTAGACTCTGTCAGCCTCAGATCAACCTCTTTCTCAAGGGACAGGTTATGTCTGAGTCTCATGGCTCCCAAATCACTTTTCCTGGAGGTATCAAAGCAGTAACCTTACATCAACTCCTTTGCAAACTCTCTGCTGTTTTCCTAGAGTCTAAAAATATTGAACATGCCTGGCTCATCTATTCATTCCTACACCTTTACAACTTCATGGAACATCTAGAGATTTATGTTGAAACATCATTGTCAATATTTCAAAACCTGGTATGAGCCGTGGGTATTTGATATTATCTATTATCAAATACTAAAGGACATTTCGAGTACAATGCTTCTTTGAGAAATGCATGTGAGATGGGAAAACCCAAGTTAATGTTCTTGTTGACCTAGCAGATGTATCACAGGGAATGCTGTGTGAGAGATTAATGCCCAGAGCCCAGGTATCATCTATCTCTCCAGCTTATCTTTTCAGTTGTTATCATTAATTAAAATGATGTAAGGAGATTTTGCAGCTCTATAAATACTAAGCCAAGGCCTTCAGGTTGTCTCTATGAATAATCTCATGAAACAAAAGAAATGTGTTGTTTTCCAGTTTGCTACTATTCCCTTTGGGAAACAGTATATACAAACTATTGGCAGAAGCTGCAAAAGTCACTCTTCTTTATGGACTTACGGTGAAGTTGTGTTCACATTGTAATGTTGCATTATCAGAATTTAGATACCTGTTACTGAAGCATCATACTTCATACTTCATACTGCAAACAATGTACAGCCTCCTGAACACCAAATTTGTAGTCTGGTACAAATGGTATAGTTTATAATGAGAGCCCAGCCACAAAACATGATCTCATTGAATGTTCTGCCATTTAAGCTTATTGTCCATGACCAGAGCCTATATCAACTTGCTTTACTTAGGAGACACTGTACAGGTAACTAAACTAATCAAGGATACTCTTGGATCAGAAAGGGAAAATCAGAGATGGAAATCACTAAAAAGTAAGTGGGGCAGGAAGATCTCCACCTCTTCATAATCAGTCAAGAACCTAAGGCCAGTAGGTCAGCCATAATCCTTATCTTTCCTGGCTTCTTGGTAATTTAATACCAGATGGTTCCAATGTTAGATAAATACAAGCAGAAAGCTAAGCCTGGGCTCTGATAAACAGAAACTGTTCTTCCATCAGAACACTAAAGGAAGTCTGTTATCTGCAGGAAATGATTGACTTTCCTCATAAAGTTGCTAGTGCCTTTTCTAAGCTCCGTGCTGTGATTCCTCCTGGTTATTGATCGTTCCAATCAGAGCCAAGGCTTGGTTGTATACACTTTGAGGAAAACTACTCTTGTGTGTCTGTTTGAACTCAGGAACAGAAAATGAGACAGAAATGCCTCATGTTCCAATGTGGTTTTGCTTTCAGAACAGGAACAAGGGTATGTCCAGATGAGGTGACCGTAGTCCAGCCTGAAAAAAGCTGTTGCTTTAATTTTGCGATCTTCATGGAAACATGTTAGATCCTGTCCTGTGATAGGAAAGTCTAGTCAGTGCACATAGAAGTCAAGGTTTGTTTCTGTTGCTCTTCAGTACACAGGTACAAGGAAACCATGGAGGTTACTAACAGCGACACAGTGTGGAATGAGAACCACCTAGAATGGTATGTGGGTTGTTTTGTCTGATTTTGTGACTCCAGTATCAGAACTGCTGGAAAAATTATTCAAATTGGTACATTGCACTTGCGTTTAAAATGTTAGCAGTGTCTTCCGTGCCAAAGTTGACCACTTGTCTCTTATACCATGACTGTGGACTAATGCTTCAAGATCTGCTTCAAAAGCATGCACAGTGCAAGCCTCCCACCACTGAGTCACCATGATGCTCACCTCATCGGTCAGTGAGATGCACCAGCTTGTCCCAGTGTAAGATTCTGCAAAACATGCGACCAAAGCTGTCCTACCAGACTTGGTTCGACTTTATACCTGCTTTGCCTCCTTGCCTGTTTCGTGATACAAAATAAAACTGTTTGGGATTGTTTCATTTCCCATTTATGGAAGTTTCTCCTAGACCAACTTCAACCCTTGGTAAACTTGCAGACTGCTACTGATCTTAAAATTTAAACTTCAGAGACAATATATATTAGCTACTACAGAGCCATTTCAAGAGTGAGATAGCTCTGCATTTCCCCTGTCAGTTCCCGGAGAAAACAGCTACTTGGGTCTGTGTGGGAATGCACCTGCTGGCGGCTATTTTCTCTCTCAGACATTCGGCCACCCACACTGTTCAGTCCTTATGTTTTCCTGTCAGTATCTCCTCTGAACTCTCACTAGACACATGCACTGGTGGTTTCCTGTGGTCATTGTCTTTTTGTTTAACTTACTGGTTTCATGTTCTCCCTTAGAGCTGGCCAGGTCCTTGCCTCAAATTGTTGCTTAATGAAACCTGGCAGATATCTTGTTTTCAGAAATCAGTTTGAGACCCTAATTGTGTCAACCCAGGTAGGGAACTCTTTCTGTCTGTCACTGAACCAATTATGGAAGTTCCGAAAAGGAGGGGGCAGGGGCACTTCCCAAACAATCAGCCAAAATCAACTCACACCTGTCTAGCCAAACATATTAATAAGGTGAAACTTGGACTTATTATAGCAGTGGAAATGTCATCTTGTATCACTGCTCTAGGGGCATCCCCAGTACCTATCATCTCCTTTAACAGTGAAGTCATAAAATGGCCCTGCACATTGCCAAGAGCACAGCACGACGCCCTTCCCAGAACTCCCTTCCAACCCCGCTCATCATCTCCCTGCCAACATTTTGTGGAAACTAAGAGAATCGTAATTATGTACAGATAAATTGTATTATATTTTTTGTACTTAATGTTTTGTGTAAATAGTTTGCCTCATTCAGTTGTATGTGAGTATTGAAATAAACCCTGCCATTTAGGAAACAGTTAGTGGCATTTTTCTTTCCATAGTCTCCCAAAATGTGTTAAGTCCATTTAGAGGATCAAGTTTCGTCAGAAGAGAGGCATGGGTGACCTGCTGGGTGTACCTACACAATATATTGTTTGGTCTTTGTTAGTTATTATACGGCGCTGTTTACTGTGTGAGAAAAAGTCATGAGGCGTAACAAAACCCACTATAAGAGTTTATTAGGAGAAGGGAGGGACAGAAAAGAATGTGCTTAGGCCTACTGAAAGACTTGTGCAGGAAGAGGGGGGAGGGTATGTGGGCTCTGCCTTTTATGGACCCCCCCTGTGCATGCGCATATGGGCTTATGTAGCTACGCCACACGTGCACATAGATTACATGATCACACTGCTTGCAATTACGTGCCCACGCCACACACAATTATGTGATCATGCAGGGCACAATTACGTGATTACGTAGGACATAAGGCCCCTGGAAATGACTAAGCATCTCACCAGCGCATGCGCAGTTATGGGGGCATGGCTAGAAATCCTATCATCCCAGACTTTTTGTTCTTATAAAAGATGGAGGGTGAGTGGTGATGGGGCGCCTAAAAAGAGCTAGAGGCAATAATTTTACCCAGTTGAGGTGAAGTTCCTGTGACATCTTAGTAAGAACGGGTTTTAAAGAACGGTTGGTATAGTCCACCTTCCCTGAGGACTGAGGATGGTATGGGATATGAAAAGGCCAAGGAATGTTAAGAGCCTTAGCTAGCGTCTGGGAAATCTGGGAGATGAACTTGGGAGCATTATCAGACTGAAGAGAGACAGGAATCTCAAACCCGGGAATAATTTCCCAGAGAAAGAGATCTGCAACTGTCTGAGCCCACATATTAGAAACTGGATATGCATCTACCCAACTCAAAAGTGAGTCCACCATCACGAGGAGATATTTAACTCTTCTGACAGTGGGCATGTGGGTAAAATAGAGCTGCCTGTCAGATGGAAGCAGTTTCAGGAGACATGGCGCCGCCATCCCCACTCATCGTCCATCTTTTATAAGAACGAAAAGTCTGAGATGATAGGATTTCTAGCCATGGCCCCATGACCGTGCATATGCTGATGAGACAGTCATTTCCAGGGGCCTTATGTCCTACGTAATCCATATACTACATGTTCATGTAATTGCTCAGCGTGATCACATAATCTATGCACATGTGTGGTGTAGCTAACTAGCCCATATGTACATGCATGGGGGAGTCCATAAAAGGCAGATTCCACTTACCCTCCTCCCTCTTCCTGCACAAGTCTTTCAGTAGGCCTAAACACATTCTTTTCTGTCCCTTCCTTCTCCTAATAAACTCTTAGAGTGGGTTTTGTTGTGCCTCGTGACTTTTCTCACAAGGTAAACAGTGCTGCATAATAACTAACAGCCTTCTACTAAGGCTTCTTGAATGATACACAAAACAGAACCATACAGACTCACACAGATGTGGTAACCAACTTTTATCAATATTCCTGTGGTAAATTGGAACTGTGTGGTAAGGAAAGCCAACCCGATGCTCTGTTTAAGGTATCAGGTGTTGATTGTGATGGATATATTCAGTGGTTTGTTCACCCTCCCTAGAGCACTCCAGATGCTACTCACTGCTGCTTAGCAAGGCATTCCTGAATGAACTGATGGCATACAGTCATCATTAACATAAATAGATAGCCATATTTCAATATCGATCCAATATTTCAGTATACTTACATTTATCAATATATTTAAAATATATTCATGTATTTATGTATCTTATATGTGCACATATGGTATGTACTTATAAACAGACATGGCTCCAGTTATTTTATAAATACATATAGGTATATATTTCAATGGATCAAATACCCCAGGACAGCTCAGTTCATATAGAGGTCAAATATTAACATAATAGAGTAAAGCTATATGAACTTAAGATATCAACAGTTATAAAGACTAAACTATTTTGACCCCAAGTAATACACTATTCAAAAATTCAAAACATCCCATGAAGAATTTCTGTTTAGCTAGTAGTTTTAAAAGTAGGAAAAATATTCTATTGCTCAATTTCCTTTTTCCATGTTTTTAGCATTTGTGATCTCCATAGTATATATTCTGATATTTAGATAGTCTAATATTGCTCGTGTATTCATATCCTCTTAGAATTTTCTGTATTTGATCTTTAAAAAATAAAGTTGAAATAGGATTTAAATAACTCTGTACCTCTTAGAAATTCATAATGTAAATTTCTACTTAAAGTGTTTCTTCAGGCCAGCTTGAAAAGAACTGCAGAAATGATTGAATGCACTGACTCCACAGCTCTAAATAGTTAATAGAAGAGGACATTAACCTCAAAATAATCTCTGAAAGTATCATTTCTTGAAATTATTATTTTTAAGTGATGCTTTTGTTAAGTCATATAGAAAATAATGCCTCAAAGTGAGCTCTCTTGTTAATTTAATTTTTATACATTTCCCTTGACCCCATTTCAGCAATCCTAGAGCTAGGAACAGAGCCACAAGGTTGTATTTGGAAAGGACAACCCGGGTGTAACACACAGATAAGAACAAAGGGAGCTTGAAGATAATCCATGTTAAGCTTTTCCCCCATACAATCAACCAGAACTGCCAGGAAAGCTCCAGTATCAAGGGATGCTATTCATATTTTAAAACAGAATCTTAACATAAAATGTAGAGCAACACCTGAATTGTGATTTTTTTTTAACTACGTGCGGGCTTAGATGAGTCAGCTATTTGTGAAGGTCTGCTGTCAGGTTGTTTATCAAGGTGATGTTCCACAGGCTCTGTTTCCTGTGAAAGTGAAGATAAAGCCCTTCACTTCCTTCTTTTTTCACCTAAAATTTGCCGAGTCACCTCCTGTTCCCTGTTAGTACAGGTGTATCACGTGATCTCTTTGAGCCTCTCCAGAAGCCATCCATCCCCTGGTGGCCAGGGCTCTCTGACTCTGAAAGAAGAGTGGTAATGGAGGCGACACAATAGAGGCTAGGGAACGGTCAAGGCCATACATGAGCTCGTCCAATAGAACAGGCCTTCTGGGAGTAGATTTCAGACAGCCTGCAGCTCACAAGGCCCCCAGTACCACAAAAATGTCAGTTTTTCCTTTATCCACTCTGTTATATCTGGCTTCCTCTCTAGCTAACATGCAAAAAAAAAAAAAAAAAAAACATGGGTTTTGTGAGACGGTTGCTCTGAGAATCATGACCAAGGATCATCATTGTTCCAATCCAATGTGAAGACTCCTACCAAGAATGCTTTGTTCTCTCACCTTTGCCTCTACAGATCTCTCCTCAGCTGGAAAGACAAAATGAACTTCCACATCCTATCTAAGAATGCCCACAGCATCTCTAAAGTCTGGGTCCTTTAGAAACTGTTTCATGATACTATATTTGCCCCATTCTCCCAGCATTTAGGAGATAGTTCTATTCTTATTCTGGAACTGAAAGATAAATTTGGAGTAAATATGGCAGAAGAAAATACATACATATTCAGAGTTGGAAAGCCTCTAAGGTGCTGTTAGAAATAGGTCAGTGGCATGGTCCATGCCCTTTATATGGGATCTTTTCTTGGCTTTATGAGTCTTTATGGAAACAGTTCTAAGGAAGCTAAGGAGGTATGGGGCACACGATGAACATGTGCATAACAGCCAGGGAGTCACCAATCAGCTCACATTGAAGATCACCTGGTACCTTCCAAATTCAGAACCAAGTTAAAAATAGAATGATATATAACAGGGACACAGATAAGTGTAGCTCTCATTCTTTATCAAGGAACCTTCTTTTTTTGCAGCAGGAGACCATTATAAAAAACCACAACTAGTCAACATGCAGAGAGCAACTGACCGTAGGATGCCTGTCCCCATCTACGGCTACAACATAACTCCTGCACCTAAGTCTCAAGGAACATTGATGAAAGTGGGAATGGGAAGATTGTAAGAGCCCCTGGAGGTTTGTTATAACATTGTGCCTTCTGTCCATGACAGGGAAGCCGTACATCTCAACAACATGGCTGCCTAAACAAGGCTCCAACGGCTGACACAACAATGTAGATGGGGAGATCCCAGAGGGCCCCATCCCTATATTAAGAGCTACATATAATTAACAACTGCTGGGACAGAACTAGTTGGATTTTTTTTCAAATATGAGGCCCCTGGTTGATTACCTAGTACCAAATGGACAATACATTCAGTAAACACTGAACAGACCTAGCAGGTTGTATTTATACATTCATTTTTTTCATGTCTCTCTCTAACAACAATAAAGGAGAGGAGACGGTGACTTTGGAGAGGAACATGAGGGATGCCGAGAAGGGAGGAGGAAGGGAGGGAATGATGTAATTATATTTTAATTAAATAAAAAGTAGAATCAATCTAAATGCATGCTTGATTCCCACCTCTCTCTTTACCATCTAGCTCCTCATAACTCATCTCCAACCCTCCCAGAAGGGAAGCAAAGAAGAACAGTCTGCTTCAGGTTTCTTTCTTGAGGCCAGAGTGAGTTTGGGGATGCAACCTTCTCAGGCTTTTCTCGGTGAAAAGGGCAGTGCCCTTACTAGTTCATGCTCTTTCAGAAGTCTTAGTAAGTATAGTTCAACAATATAATTTACTGACCCATGTTCCACCCAGTCCAAATTTTGTTAAGTGAGATTGAGAGCTGGTGTTTAGAGCCCATTAGTTCCATAAACATTTTGTTTGAAGAAAAGAGAGACCATTTGTAACAGCAGTTGGCATGCAGGGAAACAAACCTACTCCCCCATAACTAAACATTATCAGTTACTAACAAATATAAAGCTTTATATCAGAACATACAATTGGTTATGATCATTTTCCTGTTTTTCTAAACAAGTTTCAAATTTGTACTTGTACAAATTTGCACTAAACAAGTTTCAAATTTGAAACCAATTAAGTTATAGCTCGTTGGAAACTATTAAATCAAGTATTTTACTTTGAGAATATTGGGCACATCATGAAGACGTTGTCTCAACATCTGGTATACTCATCAACTCA